AGTGGATACTTAGGTAACTAACCAAAAAATGTTCATAACATTCAGTATTTTTCAAATTCAACACTTTACTGAAAGTGCACTCTTCTTGTTTCTATGCATATTTAGAACAGTTTAGCAGCAATTATCAACATTATTAATTTAAATCAAGATTTTTTTATCCACACTTGAGCTTATACACTTAATAAAGCCTACTAAATCTTAAAAATACACTCTGTTGAACCAACTTGCTATACAAGAAGTGTTTTTTCTCATGGGTTCAAAATTTAGGATCCATTCTTTTGTTAACAATGGAAACAAATTCATCCACAATGTGGAAGATGAATACTTTACACAGATCTGTTCTTATAATTCAACTTTCTATTCCATTTCATGTTTTCATGCACTGTAAATGAATTCTTTTCATTTGTATTAATTAAAAATAACAAATCATACATTTATGTAGCCCCTTCACCATGAGAAATTTCAAATCACTTAAAAAAACTAAACACCATAAAGAATTGCTTCACCCACTATTAAAGTGAAATATATCATCAGTTTACCTATACAGACCACCACTACAGAATAATTTATGATAAACTGGCTAATGTATCTAATAGCAACTGCAGGCAGATTTCCGTAGATAAAATGGAATTATCGAAAATGGAAATTGGCTTGGAACACTTGGGTCAACACTCAGTCTTGCAAAAAGCGCTATGGGTTGTTTAATGATCACAAGGCATTGGGACCTTGTTTAATATCTCTTCCAGAAGATGGTATCTCATAACAGTGCCGTACCAGCACGGGAAATTGGTTTAGCTGACTGGCTTTTCTATACATCAAGTTACCGCACAGCAAGCCAGGTTGTGAATAGCGCATCAACTTCCCACACAGCAACATCCTGTGAGGACACTGCTACAGTGCACTGAAAGTTCTGGAGTGCAACTTGGCCTGAAAGCATAGTTAGCCAAGCAAAAATCCTGAAGTGAGAGACTTGGCAAACTATAGTTTCAAGCCAAGCTGAACTCCAGGACTTTCACTGTGCTGCAATAATGTCCACACAGGACACATTACTGAACAGCAAGCTGGTGTGCTATAGTCTCACTCTGGCTTGCCACGTAGCAACTCGCCATGTCGGTGAGCACTTAGAGGAAATAATGCTACCTACTAAATGACCAAGACCAGCTGAGTTTTCCATGGAGATATTCCATCCAAATATTGATAGAGGTACCACCCTACTTAACTTGTGAGTGTTTACAACATCTCACCCTATGGAAACTGAAGGCATTGTGGTATTTATGCATACCTTAAATATGATAAAAAGAAAATGCACTCTTTAGGTATTTTCCTTTAAGGAAAGTGAAAAAGCAGCTCTCCTCCACAGCTACTTCGCCCATCCCCAGAGGCTAGCCCTCCAAAACCGGGCTGAGCTATTTTGATGGAACACCGTGTCCAATGAGGCCTATCCAGGATTTTTCACCACTACTAATTTCATTTTGAACTCAAACTAAAAACACTAGAGAAACTAAATTTATGCAAACCACTGGGAAATTACTTCAAATCTTTTGACTAGTTCCACAAATAAAATTCCTAACATAGAAAAAGTAATGATTACAGCCATGCCTTGAAAAATCCATTTATCAGGTTAAGTGGAAAGTTTTCCCTGATAAGCGGGCCTAAAGACAGCCTTTCAACCCTGAGCCAAATATACACTAATACAGTATTGTCTCCATGAGTCTCTAGGCAGCTCTGATGCTGCTGCAGCTCATAACTTGCCAAGCAGCAGCACCATGAGTAACTCCACCAAGAAGCAGCAGTGTTAAAATATAGACAACTCTAGTCAGTTTCACTATTGCTGTTCAGAACAGAAGCCAAAAATGAAGCTGCTGGAATCTCAAATGTTAGGCTGCTGCTGAGGAAAGCTATGGATATCAGCAAAGGAATATACAACAGTTATCAACAGTGGAAGAGAACGCAAGAAGAATAAATTATAGGGAAGAAAAGAATAGCAGACCTTTGTCCTGCTCTCTCTCCTTGCAGCAGCCAGGAGATGCTGGGAGAGGTGTAGATTGGTGCAGACCTTTCCTCACCCAACTACACAGAGCTATCAGGAGGCTTTCAAGGGAAATGAAGGGGGAAAAAGAAGAAGAGATAGTAAATTCCCTCTGTTACAGCAGCCAGTGAGATGCTGGAGTTTCAAATTTATCAGACACCTACTACCCAGAGGTCAATATAAGGAACCATGCAGAAGGTAGATGTCTAATTACAACCTTTGTGTTTCTTTTGCAGGAGAGCAAGGGGAAGAAGTTTTGGAAGATTATTATATGGCTCAAGAAGCTGGAATATCCCTTTCACCTTTGGGCAACGATTCAAATACAGCTAACACAGGCACTGTCAAAATGTTTACCATCTTAAGGCTGTTCACTGACCTGTAAACAATTATTTGCAAATATTAGTCTTGATGATAGTAGGCAAGAGTGCCTCCAATCTCCACCCCTACTCACAAATATCTTCTGCACAACTGGCCTCCTTGTTGGAAGTCTCAGCAAAGAAAACAAGGAATAGTTATGAAGACTGAAACGCTCTCCATTGGGACATGCTGGTGGGATAGCAAAACTTGAAATATAAACTTAAAAACCTGATTGCTTGGGTCAGACAGAAGATTTCAGTTTTCAGAGTTGTAAAGACAATATCTTTCAGAAGCACTAAAATCACTAAGCTACCTAAATTTTCTTATTTTGTAGTTACAGTTATGTCTACAATCCAAATATAAGATGTATTGGCATTATAGTTCCTAAGCAGTGATGACAGGCTAAGATTGCTTAAGAGCAGTTGCAGCAGACAGCAGAGTAATGACATGTCCCAGAGGAAATACTGTTAAGCTAAAAAGAGACCTTTTCTAAGAAGCTCTCATCTGGTAAGCACTTAAAAACCTAAACTTCTCCTCCGTTCTAAGCTACTGGCCCAAGTTCTGGAGAACAGAAGCCAAACATGGCAGAGCTAACTTGTATATATGGCATTAGGACAACACTACTGGGCCATCACTGAAAAGAAGTCTGATTTCCTATTGTTCAGTAAGCTGCTACAGCAATAGTATGGCCTTCAGAGACAACTACCGCTCCAGCCCAAACAAGAAAGTGGAAACAGAAATGGAATCCAGATACACAAAGGGCAAAATTAAATAAAAAGTGTATATGGCACTCAAATTTTTAAACCAACACAGGAAAAAAAGAACAATTTTAAGTTAAATTCAATATTTAGTTCACAACTTCATTTCAATATACACAGCTATTTACAGTGCAATGGTCCTCTAACAGGAGACATGAAATACCATACAAACTACATTACACGAAGATTAATCAAAGTTGCAATTCTAACCTGAATTACTAACCTATTCTGCCCACACAGAGTCTCACAGAAGGCTGTCTGTAGGTTTGTTTTTGGATTGTTTTTTATTAACCTAAATCAAATAACTGAGGTATTATTTTGATCCCCCAATCCCCAGCCCCTGTAGATTGCTCAATATTATGGATTATTAGTCTGGCTACCATAACACTAATATAAATGGGAAGTATCAGCCTACCACAATGTACTGATTTAAATGGCATTAAATGTAACACGGTTTCTACAAAAGTGAAATACAGTTTTAGATATATATGCAAAGTTAAAACTCACCAAATATAAACATCAGAATATTCCTATGTTGAAGCATCTGAAGGTTGTTTTGGCTTTGTTAGTTTGTTTGTTTTAATTAAAAAGAAGAACAGGAGTACTTGTGGCACCTTAGAGACTAACAAATTTATTAGAGCATAAGCTTTCGTGGACTACAGCCCACTTCTTCGGATGCATATAGAAGTGGGCTGTAGTCCATGAAAGCTTATGTTCTAATAAATTTGTTAGTCTCTAAGGTGCCACAAGTACTCCTGTTCTTCTTTTTGCAGATACAGACTAACACGGCTGCTACTCTGAAACCTTTGTTTTAATTGTGTCATGTGCTGGGTTTGATTTATTAAATAGGTACAAAAGGCCTAATATTCTCTAAACATGTTTTATAAACATGTATTACCACATATAAAAACTGAGTTCCATGCCCTAGTAAACAAATCACAGTTGTTAATTTTTGAATACTAATGCATGTCAATGTTTCAAATACAACATTAAAATCTTCTGAAAACTTTATACGATACCAACTTTCCATTAGAAAGTAAACTTTAACATTTAAGATGAAATAAGTACTAGGTGCTACTTGACGTAAATATTCCTAGTAAATTGCAGATGATGAAGTTATTAAAAACAGAAATGCAAATAATTAGTTTTGCCTTTGCCAATTTGCTTTTATTATACTCCCACCATCTTTATTCGGGATTTATTATCACATCAGGAACTGGACATACTAAGACTGGTTATTTTATTGACGGGGTTATCATTTGAGTCCTAGCTGAACACTGTTTTTTGCCCCTTTGCTTGTCGGGCTCTGAGCTACACAGCAAGACCTGGGCTGCACTTAATTTAAGCCATGTTAGAAGTAGCTCGCCTCCCGTGTCAGCCCGCAGAGCAGGGTGAGGCGGCGAGCCCGGCGGAGTCCCAGACCCCGGCTAGAGACGCAGCCGCCGCGCGGCTCTGCCCTGCCCCTTCCCCAGCACGGACCCTGCTACAAAACAGCAGCAGCAGCTGTCAGGCAAAAAAAGAAAAAAACCAACTCCGCGCGGACGAGGCGCTTGTGCGGCTCCATCGCCCGGACCGGCCTCCCCCCAGTCACAGCGACGGAACGTGGCAGCGAAACACCCTCCCCCCGCCGCCTTCCCGCGGCTTCCTGCGGCCCCGGGCTCGCCGCCCCCGCCCAGCCGAGTCCCACCCACCCCGCCCCCTGGGGCTCCCCCCAGCGCGGGGCTCCAGGCCCGGTAACCGACGGGGGAAAGGGGCTCTAGGCCCGGCAGCGCCTCCCGGGGCCGCCCAACTCCCCAGCAGCGGCCGCCACAAGTTTGCGGCGGGTGCCGTCCCCTCCCGGCTGGCCCGGCTCTCACCTCGGGCCGGGCAGCGCTGGCTCGTGGCGGGCGGGGGCCCGGCGCTCTCCGGCCGCGGGGCGGGAGCGGAGCAGTAATGGCACCAGTGGCGGCGGCGGAGGGGGGGGGGGGGTCTCCCAGGCGGGCTCCGCTCTTTGTCTCGGCGGCGGCGGTTGGCTCCCCCGCGCGCTCTGCCCCCTCCCCGGCGGATGCGTCCTCGTGAGGGGCCGAGTCCCCCCTTCCTCTTCCTCACCCCTCCCCCGGGCCGGCCGGACGTGCCCAAGGCCCCGGCGCTCCTGCCTCTCCTCAGCCCGGCGGCGGCGGCGGCAGCAGCAGCAACAGCCCCTCCCCCAGCTACACACCCCTCCCCTTCCCTTCCTTCCCTTCCCTTCCTGCCTGCCGCGGCCGGGATCGGCCGGGAGGGGCGGGCCCCTGGACTCCCCCTCGCTCCAGCCGGGAGCTGCTCGGGGGCCGGGCAGCTGCTGGGGGCGGCTCCCTCCCTCCTCCGCCCCCCAACCCGCAAAGTTTGGGGGGTCCGGGCCCGCTCCTAAGGGCGGAGCCGCTAACGCTGCAGGACGGCCAGGATCGGGCCCACGGCTGGGCACACCTGAGCGCTGTGAGCCGGGGCGGGCCAGGGCTCAGGAGGAGCTGGGTCGCCAGGGCTGTGCTGCCCCAGGCGTGTGGGCCGAGCCCAGGCTGCGTGTGCCGGGCTGAGGGGAGCCAAAGCAGGTCGCTCTGACTGTAAACTGAGCAAAACTGACCTGGAGCGACTGAGAGAGACGGTGTGAGAGAGAAAAGATGGAGCCGCACAAAGCCGTTCCCCCACCCTCCCTCATTTGACTCTAGCAGCGCTACAGAGTTTGCAGCGTGATATGTGCCTAAGGCGTCCTTCGCAAGGGACTCTCTGCCTAACACATCCTTTGTCAGGGATTCACTCGAGAGGATTTCAGTCATTTCTCCTGCCGACCTGCAAATGTTTCCCTCTCCTTCCCGACAAGTTGAATTGGGGTTAGCTGGCAGGGCTGGGGACAAAGCGCTTGGCCTGCCCACTAAAAATAGAAAGCATTCAATGTTATTCCCCGAAGTGCCACCCTAGGGAAGGGAACTTTCAGGAATAGCATCACAGCGTCTAATCGAGCGGATTGGCCAAGGCTGTGAGATCACTTGCAGAAGCTCTGCCTCCTGGAGGCAGGACTGGAGCGGAGGGAATACACCAGCTCAGAAGCTCCTTAGTTAAAAGGTAATGGGAGTACTGCTTCTGTGCAAGAAATTAAATGTAAAATCTGGTTACTGCAATAGCACAGTTGTGACTTTAAGAGCACAGAAATAGGAAACGCCTACATTAAATCCACATCACTTTAATGTGTCCATATTACACATCTAGTATTTTGGATTATGTTGGGATGCTACAGTAAAGTAGTAATAACGTTTAAAGCATGCGTAGTATGAGAAAATAAGCATTGCTGCTTCCCATGAGAACCATAAATTTTGCATTTCCTGGCTTTTTTGCCATTGTAAACATTCAACTTCTATATTTTTTAACAGATTTTTGTATTTAATTTTCCTAGGTTCTCCTCTGCTCTTCCCCTCTCCAAAACAAAAAACTGTGTGCAAGACAGGAAAACTTCTGAAATCACTGAGACATTTTCCACAAAAGACATACCACTGCATAAGTATGCAACACACCCGTCCTATTATGACTGCATCTCTATCTGAGTAAAGTGTGCCAGGTAGAAATGCTCATGCCAGATACACATTAAATGAGTCAAGCAACCCCTTTTCAATGCATGCACTGACTGTAGGTTCAGTAACATGCCCTCACTCAGCCCCATTGAAGTCAGTGGGGCTCCACCCAGGTAGAGGCATTGGCAGGATTTAGCTCCTAATTGTTTGACACTAACAATTATATATATTGTAATAAAACAAATGTCTTTGCCCACATCATTAACACTACCATATCAGTTTCATTTTGCCTTAGAGTCATTTTCACTTTAATGTTCTTAGTAAAGCAATGTTGGGGTTTCAAATATGTTTGTTTGGAGAATGTTTTTAAACAAACAATGTTATAGACACTTTTAAATGGAAAAAATGTCTGTTGGTCTTATATTTTATAAATGTTTAAAATAATTGAAAATTTAGGCCAAATCTTAAATGCGTGCTGCAACATATCATGAAAATGTCTATTGCCCATGCTCAGTTCAGTATTTTTTAATGTTAATAACTATGGGTGAATCCTCCTTCAATAGAAGTCAATGGGTGTTTTACTACTAACACCAGAGGGGTCAGAACTGAACTCATTGTTACATATGAGAGGCAGCACGGTCTAATACAGTGGTCTTCAACCTTTTGGGGTCTGTACTTCTCAAAATACCAGCAAATCATCAATGACCCACCCTATGCGGGAATAACAAGGGGCTATTTTGTGGGAGTAAGTGATAACAGGGTAGGAGGAGCTGCTGGTTGGAGTCTTGTAGGGGAGGCTGGCTCTACTGGAAGGTGGGTGCGGGTTGATAATGCCTGGGTACTGTGGGTTGAGGCTGCTAATACTGCTAGGTAGGGGGCTTATGGAATAGGTAAGAGGGACTGGTACTGTTGTGTTCTTCCCTCATTCTCGCCTCATATTCCCTCATTTTCAATGAACATCACTCATTTTTGTCCCAAAGTTATTTACATTGCACACAAATTTGGTGTCCCCTCACTTGTACTGCTAAAAATTATTTGAATAAAAATTAAAGAATTCTGAAACTGAAGTTATAGCAAGGTTATTTACACTAAAGGAGGGAATCCCACAGTGTTTGGACCTTGGGAAGTTGAAAGGTACAAATGTGCCTTCTCCCCATTAAATAGCACTCAGGTTCCAGGGCAGCACTGCTATGGCTGCGCACACTGTTAATTCAGCTCCTTTTCTCTGCCTTAGAGCTGTGCATTGTGGGATGGGAGGGAGACGGAAAAATTCCAGTGTTAGTTTTAGAGGTGGATCAGCAAGCAATGGGAGGAAAGTAAAGGAACTGCACCTTTCTCTATCCTCCTCAAACTATGCCTGAGTCCTAGTACCCAAGAATGTTTTGGCCTTATCTGGTGAGGTATGCACCATTTCCTGGTGGTGGTACCCAAGGGGTTGGCAGGACTCACAATATTGCCAACCCCAAATGTTCAAAAATAATGAGATTGGCTTTAAAATCATGAGATTATGTAAAAACAATAGATTGGTGTTCTTTTTATTTGCCTTCAGCTTTTTGAGCCTTTAGGGTCCACTGGGATCACATGTTGAAGCTATATCCACAGCCATGAGGGATAGAAAAATTACTTTTTCTTGAAGAGTGAAGGCTGAATTCATCACATATCCACTTGACTCCAGGAGCTGGGGCTTTAAAAAAAACAGTAATTATCATGAGACTCATGACAAAATCACAAGAGTTGGCAACACTGCATCTATATAAAATGATCATACAGGATTAGAAGCTGGGAACCCCTTAGTTCTAATCTTAGGTACTGATCACTCCTGGGCTATGGGTAGGGTCCTACCAAATTCATAGCCCTGAAAAACACATCATGGACTATGAAATCTAATCCCCCTCATGAAATCTGGTGCCCAGTTGGGGGCTCCTACCTTGCTGCTAGTCCCAGTCGAGGATGGGGAGGGACAAAGACTTCCTCTTCCCCTGCAGGGGCCACTCCCAGGGTGGGTCAGACCCACATCCGGGATCTCCCCTGGCTCCAGCTGTCAGCCCCCCTCCCCGCCCCCCCCCCAGCTGACAGCTTCAGTTGCTAGCCCCCCCGGCACAGGGAGGGCACGGCTCAACCTTCCCACCCTGTGACACACACCCTCACCCTGACTGCCTTTTGGATTGGGACTCCCCACAGTTAAAACACTGTGAAATTACAGATAAAAACATCTGAAAATGTGAAATTGACTAATTTTGAAACCCTGGCCACGAAATTAACCAAAATGGACTGTGAATTTGGTAGGGCCCTAGCTATGAGCAAGTCACAATCTTTTTGTGTCTCAGTGTTCTCATCTGAAAAATAGTGATGATACAGCCTTATTCATTAGGGGACTGTGGTGATTAGTTAGTTAATATTTATGCAGTAAGAAGTAGAGAACTATGTAAGTGATAGATGCTACTATTAATTTTAAAATGAAAGTTTGTAAACTTAGCAAAACCTGCATTCCTCAGTAATGACTACTTACACATAAGCTGGAAGTTTAAAGAAAAGTTCTGTCATTTTCTGCATTACAACCTGTATTAAGGTAGGGATGCATTCATAACAAGTAGCACGCGGGTATGTTGCATACATAAACAAATGTATCAGGATAGATTTTTTGTTAAGCTTTGATAACTCAGAAACTGCTAAAGGAATTTTCCACAAACTAAAAATAAAATAAAATGGGGAAAAAAAACCACCATATTTGGGCAGAAGCAAAACATGGAAAATTTCACCCTAGAAGATTTGTTTTGAAAAGGTATGATTTGGGACCTGATCTTGGAACTGTTTCTGTGGGGGCAGCCCCTTCTGCCTGTTTGGTAAGTCATGGGGGCTCTCTGCAGTGGAAGGGTCTGGCCTTGTGGAGTAATTTGCAGGACTGGGTGCTTAGCAAGTAAAAATCAAGTTATAATAAAAGTCATTTTGCAACTATGCAGTAGTACTCCTATGAATGCTACAATAACTTAATAACTACACAATTTTAACTAAATTTACATTTTGCTATGAGGAAAGAGGGCTTGCACTTACCAATACTGGCTGAGTCTCTCTCTCACCAGTTCATTTTTCCTGGCTCTTGAGACAATAATACATAATCCTGTCACAGGCAGCTCCAAACTAAACTCATGGGATAATGAAAAACCTCCACGGATTCTTCCCTAATCAGGAAAAAACAGTAGAGGGAACTTAGTACTTATCTACCATATAGGGGCTTTCAGCTTCTGAAACAGGCCAATTTTTCAAAATTATTACTTTTCCTAGGATCTTTCTGCTTCACGAATCTAAATCCTTTTCCTGTTTAAACTAGGTGTCTTATAATTATTCCTAAAATATGTGGATAATTCCATTTTACATCTGTTAGTTTCTTCCCTTATCCTACTCATTTCTACTTTTAATTAACTTTCTGAATACTAATTCCTCCCTGATGTGACTCCATAGAAGTCAGTTGGCTCCTTGTTACTTTCAACTATGGCTCTGTCTACACGAACTAGGAAGCAGCAAAAAGACCCTTTTCTTACCTGAGTGAATTCTCCACCCTCACATTGGAATTTGATTAGCCCAGCTGCCTGCCTTCTAAGTATCAGTCAGTGTGCAACTCCCTCACCTGAGACAATGCTTAAGGTTCCAGGAAATGGAAAAGAATAATGAGTAGTTACCCTTTAGACCAACGATAACCTGGGACAGCATTCCTTCTTAGGGACTGATCCTGCACACCCTTACTATTTCAATGGAATCAGTTGTGTAAGGGCTTTTGTTTTATCAGTACAAAATGTACTGCAGGTGTAATTACAGAGAGATGGATAATTTCTGCTGTAGTTAAGGTTGAACCTAAGCTGCCTATTATAAACTGAATTTTGACCCTTCCCACCGCACCCAATCCTTCACATTATTATTTTTGAGTGCTGTAGTGTGTTAGGTGCTGTACAGAGGACTATAATACCTGCACCAAGGAATTTACAATCTAAATTAAACAGACTATAAAGCTCAGATATACAGTACACCAAATAATGGTTAAAAGTGGCATAGATATCTTAGATATTTAAATAGATATCATAGATATTTTAAAATACAGTTTTAAAAAGCACATTTAGTTTTGGTGAATTAATATTCATATGATTTGTGGAGGAAAAGTGTTTTAAGGAGGGATTGAAATGAATATATTGTCTTAATGCAAAGGACAAAATTAAGGTATATTTAATTCTATTAAGAAATGATTCTTTAAAGTAGGTTTTCCAAACTGTGGGTTATTATGACCCACAAAAGGGTCGTGGAAGGGGTGTGGGGTAAGTACAAATGTAAATTTAGTTTAAAAAAAATCAATAAATGTAAACTTATTTTCTTTGGCTGCCTCTGAAGGAGAGGTAGCCAGCTGTAGTTGCAGAAGTTTGAAAGTTCTCATCCCATTTCATCCTGATATCTCTACAAATCAAGTTTCTCTTCTGATGGGGGCGATAACAATGAAGTATTTCAATTGCCTGTCTGCTGAAAATATCTCCAATTCAATGGTCCATGTTTCATTAGCAAGGCAGGCTAAACCACCATATTTCATTATATTTAAAATGTTTCATCTTCTTGAAAATTGAAGTTCACTTTCTGAAACATTATAATTAGCTGTTATTCTTGAAATGGCTATTGTTAAAAATTTTGCCTGTTCACTGTTAGAATTAGAATTTAGTGTAGAAGGCAATCAACAGCTCAGAAAGTTTGAGAAACTCTGCTTAAGTGTAAAACGAATACTCACCATAGTAAACACACATTATTGTGTATAAAAAAAGGAAAAATGCAAAAAAAAATCTCTGCACATATATAAGAATAGTGCAAGCATTATGAAATAATATATACAAAAGAGAAAAGAGTATAAATATTACCCTTAGCGTCTGGTTATAACTGTACAATAAGAATCAAAGAGAAAACCCAGTAGGCATTAGAAAGCTCTATCTTCAACTTTGTAAAAAGAATGAACTACTGGACATGGCTACTTCCAAACAGGCTGAGGTTGCACGACATATGGACATCTTCCTGGCCTACATGAAAACAGTAAACCCATTTTCAAATTTGTGAGTTGCATAGTACAATAATTTTTAATTGTCTTCATATTTTTCTCTTTTTTCCTTTCACTTCTTTTTTCTCCCTCCTTGTCTTTCTTTATAGATGTTTCTTTCTTTTAACTGTTTTCTATTTCATAGATAATGTTACTTATTGCTCTTTATTGTTCTGTGCTAGTTTTTTCACAGAAAACTGCATAGATGTGGTCCCTGCCATATAGAGATTCTAATTTAAGATCTAAGACATATTAATTTATTTATATTTGATCATGGATAAGACATGGCTACAACCTCAGAGATCAGGATCTTTTCCAAGCTCTGCCACTAATTGCCTGTTTTACCTTTGTTGAGTCACTAACACCATTCCATCTGGAAAATGACCTAGTGCATGCTCCCCATAGGCCAATAGGAGGTTTTGGTATGGACTTCAGGAAGAAGTCATTTTACCAGATTCCAAACTTTCTTTTCAATTTTGAAAAGCATCCTGATCCAATTTACATATGGACAACAAAAATATTCTGTCTGGGTTTTAGTCTATTGGCATCACTGACACACACACAAAAAATCACATATAGGTTTCAAATAATGGCAACCTCTTAAACAATTCACTACTCCTGTCCTTCAGAATTGCCCCTTATACAAGCCAATGTTATACATTGATCTATCTTTAAACTGTTACGGTATAATTTCATTGACCGGAGAAGGGACAAAAGAAACACCAGACACTTTGAACCAATTTTAGAGGAGTAAAATTTTAATTCGCCTAATCTAAAAAAGAAACTCATTTGCAGAAAACATCATAATTGTCAATGAAATGAACTAAAACTTTGAAAGCCTATTCTTTTTTCTCCAAAGAAAAATCTGGACCTTAGATGAAATATGTTACCAAATATTAATTCCAATGGTACATAATTCCTGCTTAATACATATGCTTAACTCCCACTAACACTACAGGGAATTAAGTGGGCACTACATGGGAAGAACATATCAATTAGTTACTGCTGAGTCACTTAAGTATACTTGTACAATGATTCTAATTCAGCCTGACAGTAACAGAGCTGCTTTTCTCACTTGCTGCATGACTGTTGTATCTTCAATGACATTTACAAAAACCACTGGGGAGGAGAGTGTCCATAGAGCTGGAAATATTTCCAAATTTTTATATTCAGTTTACCAAACAACCCAACGATGCTATAATTCTGTGAGTTAAATCTATCAGCAGATGATATTTTATTATGATAATTTATATCACTATCTTTTTCAGACAGGTGCTAAAATTCAATGTGTTTCTGTAAGCAAAACATCCTTGTCTTTTGGGCTTTAGAAATGTCAAGGCCCTTGACTCATTCGTTTATCTGAAGGTGACAGCCCCGCGAAGTATGCCTTTTGAACCTTGTTCAAAGCTCATAACTAATCTTTTCCATTGTTTTGGAATTCAAGATACTGTTGCTCAATGACATGACTCAGATTGGTATAATAATATAGTATGATCTTACACTTATAGCATCTTTCTGCCAAGCACAATAGGATCCTTCTGGTTAACTCAGTGATACTCAGACCTCAGTGGTTCAGGAGCCAAATTAGCAACCAATATTACCCAAAAGAGCCACAGTAGTGTGAATTCATTGTTTCATTTACTATTTTTATACATAATTCTCACAGCAAAATGACGGACCAAGTATTATTATTTTATCAACTACAATTTGGTTAAGAACATAGTAAAAGCCTCCTGATTGGTTATTAACTTAAATTGGTTAATAATTAAATGACACCGTTTTAATGTCATGTGCTGCAATGAGCTACAGGAGACACATTAAAAAGCCACTTGCAGCTTTTGAGGTTCAGTCTGAGTATTACTGGGTTAACTATAAAGATTCAAGAATCACAGTTCCCAACACAGAAGTACGGCCACCTCATAGAGGGAACACTATAATTGTCTAGCACACAGCAACACTACACAAAAGTTTAGTACAAGAAGCGAAGAACATAGAATCCAACTGAAACTGCAGAAGGAAATGGAGGTAGGCAGAATATGTAATGTTACTGATTGTTCTTTATTGATCTCTAGGTTCCTCACAGAACACAGCATATATATGGGCCTTGCCACAAAGAGATTATACATGAATATTTCTTAGATCTTAAGTTATTGATACTTCCTGGTGGATAAGATGTACCTCTGAGATCAGGAATTTGCTCAGGACTCCAAGCTAACATCCCTACTAGTAGAAAAACAGTTATATGAGATCTTTACCCATGACAACAGAATACAACAGGTCTCTTAAAGTAATTTAAAGAGGTCAATAACGTTTTGTTTGACTACATAGAGTTAGTGCCCTCAACTGAGTTACAGATCACATATGCTCAGGAAAATAAGGGGCCAGCTACATTTCACTCATGAATAAAGCTGTATCACTTCTTAAGCCATGATACAGGCTTCATGGGGAATTTACTGGCAGAGCAGCTACACAAGGGTGCCTATCCAGCCCCTGCATGCTACTGAAAGGATTTGTGCTCTGGCCTGTGACAGGTTGGTGTAGAAAGCCATAATGAGAGTGGGGCTGGAGAGGAACCACAGATCCACATTGATATGGATCCAGTGGCCACAGGATCCTATGCTAATGGCATAGAGGCACCACTATTCCAGTCTATATGTTTGCGTAACAGCTCGATGTGGCGACAAGATGGCTACACAGCAGCCCTGCACAATGAGCTTGGGTTGGATTTCATCTCCCCAACTGTTTTGCATGAACTATATTTTAAAAAAGCACCAATAATCAACTTTATGCATTTGGGGTGGATTTCAGCCTGAGTAACTCTAGTCAATATTAATGGGAAATACACAGATTTAGAGGGGAACATATACTCCTTTATTAGCCTTTACAACTCCCATACAAAAAGTGATGACTAATCATGGAAATGGCCTCTGCCTATATTTCCTGTAAGGTTCTGCATTGCCAACTCACAATTTTATCACGAATCTCATGATATTTGGTATGCATTGTAAAGCATCAGCTCCTGGAGTCATGTGATTACATGAGAAATGCAATTTTTCTTAAAAAAATGTTTCTAGTACCAATTATTTTTTAGAAAAGTTTGAAAACCTGACCCATCAT